AAATTAGGGACTGCTAGCGCAGATAGCCCTCGTGTAGCTTTTGGTGAAATTCAAAAGAAACAAACAATTATCATATAAATTTGTCAATAATTTTATTTATGTTCTCTGGTGCTAGAGGTACATTTCAATGATAATCACGTAGTTATTTTGAATATCCAAATCTACTTCTAAAATATAACCTATTTTAAATGTAATGAATTTATTGTTATGTATTTATTTTAATATGAACGTTTAGATTGAGTTTATATTTAAAAACATGCATAACTTGTAGTGTTAGATATGTATTGCGAAACGCCCGCCTATTTTCCAAAGTTGTAGAAGATTCTCGAGAGTATTAATTAACAATATATCTATATATGTAAACGTTTAAATACAGCTCAGTATTGTTATGTAATCTGAATTTAGTAGAAAACCTTCCCACGCCTATAAATACAATCAACGTGACGCGCCAAATGGAGAGTATCTATTATCAGTTCGCTATAATGAGCGTGCTATAAACATCGAAAGCTATAACTGTGATTTTTTATAACGCTTATCAATCGGAAAACTTAAGATATTTAACCAGGAATATTTATAAATTTCGAACCTTATAAATCGTTTAACTTCAGTGGATTCTCATCGGACATTAGTATTTTTACGAAAACATATAAATTCATCGTGGAGAGCATAGTGTGTGTGGCAAATGACAAAGCTAGCTAGCCTCCCAGCGAATCGTACCTACATCAACTCGTAATTAACTCGCTCATCGTAAACCCTCGGTAAGATATCAAGAAAGTTCCACACTAGAAAGAAAATTTTATATTGTTTGTAATTTTGTGAAACTTTTGTTTATAAATCTTTGTTCATAATAACTATTTGTAATAATTGTTATTGTAAATTGTATTGTTGTGTGTATATTAAAACGCATTTGTGTTAAAAAAGAAAACTGTATGCATCAGTCTTGTTGGCAAATATCATAAACTGACTATATATCGGCTTTTACTTAACTACTAAACCCAAAGTACAATTAAACTATTAAATTTAGATTATCAGTTAACTCGGTTTCAGACCATTTTAAATTCTAATAAGTAACAACCGAGAAACTTCAGGTTATTTTAAATTCACGCGTTAACCCAAAAAATAGCAGTTTAGTTATTTCTAAGATATACAATATTTAATTATCCAAATTTATCACGACGACAAACATATTAAAGGTGGAGGTACAGCAGTCCCATCACGAGATCTTGACTGATTTCGGAATATAGTTCACACTAAATCCTTAAAACATCTTCCATGTGAATAACGAAATGACGAATAAAATTTATCAACTTTGCAATTTGTTTGTTTGTTTATGAGAGAATTTTGAGCAAAGCTACAAAAAGGGTTATTCCCTTATAGTCATCCCTAAATTTGAACTGACAGTTGGCCAGCAACACCCACCGCGTAATTTTGGACTACTTTTGTATGATAATATACTGGGACTTGCTAGTCAATATCTTAACACATCCACTGCCACAAAGTGCGAAGCACACTTTTGCGGCAACGGTACTCGAGTAATGTGTTACAGTATTACAATGGTTCAGTTTATTTGTGTTTACCTTCTAAATTTGCCATGTCTCTTTAATAAAACTGATATTGATATTTAATTGTCCTAGTGACAGGATTTATTTATGTTTATTTCTTCTGTTTGTGTATATATCTTTAATGAAACATTTATTGATATTTAATTGTTCTAGTAGCAGAGTTTATTTGTATTTACCTCCTCAATTAGCTCTATCTCTTTAATGAAACTTATACCAATATTTAGTTGTTCTTCTGAAGGGGTTTTGAGCCTTGACATTTTATTCTAAGGGAACCAAAGATTAACACCGTCTTTTATAAATGTATTGTTTGTTTGTTTTGAATTTCGCGCAAAGCTACACGAGGACTATCTGCGCTAGCCGTCCCTAATTTAGCAGTGTAAGGGAAGGTGTATAGGGAAGGCAGCTAGTCATCACCACCCACCGCCAACTCTTGGGCTACTCTTTTACCAACGAATAGTGGGATTGACCGTCACATTATAACGCCCCCACGGCTGAAAGGGCGAGCATGTTTGGTGTGACGGGGATTCGAACCCGCGACCCTCAGATTGCGAGTCGAGCGCCTTAACCACCTGGCCATGCCGGGCCTTTTTAAATGTAAGAATAACTTTCAAAACGCCGTCCTTTTTATCTTTAGCCTTTTTTCAGTATTTGTCTGAGTGTAATTGAAGATATTTTAGTGGTTATTCTTTCTCTGAAACTCAAGTGAACAAGATGTGAACTTTAGTAAACCATTGTGTTGGACATGCATCTTAGAAGTTGGTCAGACCGTTACAGTTGAGTGCCACAGAATGCATTTAAGGAGCTGGCAGATTTTGTATGGCTTGATGGAGAGACTGTCGCAGCTATCAGATTAGTATGGCTTGAGGGATAGGTTGTCGCAGCTAGCAGATCGGTATGGCTTGAGAGATATGTTGTTACACCTGGCAGATTGGTATGGTTTGATGGATATGTTGTCGAAGCTGTTAGATTAGTATGGCTTGATGGATATGTTTGTCGCAGCTGTAATAGATATATTGTCATAACTAACAGCTTGGTATGGCTTGATGGATATGTTGTCGCAGCTGTAATTGATATATTGTCATAACTAACAGCTTGGTATGGCTTGATGGATATGTTGTCGCAGCTGTAATTGATATATTGTCATAACTAACAGCTTGGTATGGCTTGATGGATATGTTGTCGCAGCTGTAATTGATATATTGTCATAACTAACAGCTTGGTATGGCTTGATGGATATCTTGTCACAGCTAGCAGGTTAGTATGATTTGATGGATATATTTTTACAATTCGCAAATTGGTATTTGGGAAAATATATTAAGAATTGTTCACAACAGATGTTAAATTAGAACTGAAGGAGACCACTAAAATATTGAGTATGGTCAGTTCTCCTCTATGGGGTGGAAACGTACTGGACCTTGTCTGCTGAACCAAAACGACAGTTTGAAGCATTTGAAATTTCGTGGTATAGACGATTGATAAAGATCAGTTATTTTGATGGAAAAAACATTGATGAACTATTGGAGAGTGCAAAATTGCTCTATATGTGTGTAAGAAACGTAAGATACTCTTCTTTGAGCATGTAATTAGATCTGAGGGAAGGTTGGCAAATATTTTGATGGGTAAAATTGAAGGAAGAAGAAGAGCGAAAGCAAGCAGACTCACTTGGCATGATAGCTCTATAAAATAGATTAGAGATTGGGAGCTTTAATAAGGAAAGTTGGTGCAAGCAGCGAAAAATAGAAAATTATGGAAAACCATAGTCGCCGACCCTCATCATTGGGGAGGACATCATGATTGATTGATTGCCTGATGTAATGTCACAGTAGGGAGATATATCTTTCAACTTCGTGTTGCAGAATGCTAACCGGTAGGAAAAGACTGACTTCATTTCGGTTCCGAAAGTGATAGAGAGGAAAAACAAAATAGATCTATGAGGCAACGGAAAATGACGTAAGTTAAATTTGGATTAATAGAATTGGTACATTCATGATCATTTTTTCGCACCACACATGTGAAACTTGTGGAACTTTTGTGTGGTGCGAAAAAATGATCATGAATATACGAATTCTACCTGGTGTCTGTTTTGTAAATAGAAACTCGATCATATCTAATCTGTCTGTGTTCACCTGCACAAAATTCTTCAAAACACCAGGTGCCAGAACGCTCTACAAAGTAAGTCGTGAGAAGATTAGAGGCATACTACGTGAATAAGTGACAGAGACAAATGTTCACTCTAGTGCTTACTTAAGTTTTGGGAGTGACTATACATAGTTTAGTTTAATTTTTGATTTTAAAAATTGATACAGTGTTTATGTTTGATTTATTAATTTGTTTATTTTATCAAGTATTTAATTATTAGATTTGAAACATAACATTAAACAACCGAAAAAAATACTTTTAGTTCAACGTAGCGTATATTGTCATATACAGGTTTTGGAATTAAATTAAAGACGGAGTACTTTCACCAGCTAACAGCTTTCGTTGACAAACATTTGCCTCCACATACCTCATTAACACGACTGACCGATTGACTATAAATAACACATATGACTTGGCTCTGTATGTTCCCCCTCTGTACATTTGGTTGCTTCCAATCTCCCATGATACCCTTCACGCAGGTTTTACTGCTTTGCTTCCCTAAGGCTTGAGCACAGCCCAATAGAAGAACTTACCTGGCTAGCGTGTATTTCGTTATCCATTGCCTGCGTGACAGAACAAGAACGCTTTACATCAGATTACGGGGTCCTTCTAACTCTAGCAGGCTACCATTTCACTTCTGGTGACACGTAATTTAGTTTTCACAATATGTCTTGATGTCTTCACTTCTCGTGAATCTATAAGATTGTTCAGCGTTGATATACAGCAGTGGATAAACTGAAGGGTCAGACGCAAACAAGGTCTTATATAGAATAATTACTAAAGTAGTTATGAGAAGTTATTAGACAGATCATAATACCAAGGTTACTTCAGTAAAATCTTCATCAACGTATGAGCTTCAACCTACCTGATACAAAGAAACTTTGTTTTAGGATTTTTTACAGGTAAAACACTTTACTTTGTTTATAGCTTGGAGCCTTGATAGGAAAATTCAAACTTGTATGTTTTTAATTTATTTCCAATAATGTCGGTGTGGGGCATAACGATAAAATGAATAGAGTGGTATCCTTATTCTGTATAAAAAGTTATACATCGGTTCACTTAGCCCAAAATAATTTCATTCTAGATAATATAGATTTAGTTTAAGAAACTGCTTTATGACATGTAGTAACCGGTAAAACTATAATTTTGCTGTCGTAAACGATCTAACAACTTTTAAGATGGTGAATTTAATCTTAATATATTACTGTGATATATTATATATTAATAGAACCGTGTTAATAAACTTCGTAAACTACAGTAGCCTTTAGAATAATATCCTTCATCCGTTACTAGGACCATAGTAATACCCTTTATACATTACCATTATCATGGGAATAACCTTCTTACATTACCAGAACCACGAAAGTAACCTTAATACATTGCTAGAGCCCTAGGAATAACCTTTATAAATTGCTAGAACTATAGGAATAATCTTTATAAGCTGCTAGAATCATAGTAACAACCTTTATAGATTGCTAGAACTATAGTAATAACTTTTAGACATTGCTAGAAACATAGTAATAGCCTTTAGACATTGCTAGAAACATACTGACAACCTTTGTATATTGATATAACTATAGTAGCAATCTTCGTATATTTCCAGAACCATAGTAATAACCTTTATAAACTGCTAGAATCATATTAACAACCTTTATAGATTGCTAGAACTATAGTAATAACTTTTAGACATTGCTAGAAACATAGTAATAGCCTTTAGACATTGCTAGAAACATACCGACAACCTTTGTATATTGATATAACTATGTTATATGATATAACCATATCAGTAAGCTTTATATATTCTCAGAATCAATATAAATAATACGATTGCGTTTGTCTGTCCGGAACTTTTCTCGCAATTTCAAGATCAAACGCTACAGATCTCATGTAGTTAGAAAGACCGTTGTCCGAAGAATTCCGGATTGCATATTGGCTTTTCAATTCAGAATCACCTTACCTTAGTCAAACTTTTTAGTGCAACGAGTATGCTACACTATGGCACAATGTCGTTGTCATCACGTGACGACTGGCTTCGATTTCAACTTCAGTTTTATATCTGCAAAGTATTTCACATAAACAACCCTTAATCCACGTGTAATTTCCTTATAAAAAATGAATATTACACTAAATACAATTGCTATGGGCTTTCTCGACATATTTATGTCTAAAATACGCATGTGCAGTTCATTCAAAACCATATGCTTATCACTTTGTGAACACACATTTAGACGTTTCTGCATATTCATCTAAGTTTGCCTTCATAGCAACATTACATTTACTTTATTTTGCAATAATTTAACTTCGGGTTTGTTTCATAGACCGCTATAATATCTTTTAGCTACTTTTTTCGTTATTACGGGTTTTATTCTTCGTTTTTGTGAGTTTCTTTGTTTCATTTCGTAAAACCATGTCATACACTAAATGCTCATAACTGTTTCATACTCTGTACACTATTATAAATAGCATTACTATATTTCATTTTTACTTTACGTGTAGTTTTAAATAAAGTTGCTTTTACGTGAGTTTGTTTGTATGACCACTTAAAAATTTTCAAATAGGCAGCGATTTATCGATCTAACAAATAATGCCTGCAAGAAAGTGTAGCTTAAATGTCATGCGTGAAAATGATAGAATAAGGAAAATTCAAACGACAGGCATGATTACTACCGCAAATGTTTTGCGGGTCGCGGCTAGCCATAGTAATAACCTTTGTACAATGCTAGAACCACAGTAAAACCTTTAAACGTTTCTAGGACCATAAAAATAATCTTTTGTTGCTAAAAGCATAGTAATAAACTTTGCACATTGCTAGAGCTGTGATTGTAACCTTGGTATATTTTACAGACAGTTTTAATATAGACACGTTATATATTTATTAAAGAATTTATTATACCATTAAGAGTTTACGCAATTTTATAGCAGAATGAATGCAGTTATACCGAATAACGTTAAAATAAAATTTAATTTTTGTAACGTTTTCATGTCCAAGCAGCGGCTGAAACCCCAGTCCTTCTGTGTTTAATGAATTTTTTTTTTCATCGCGTTATAAACGTTAACTGAAATTAAATTTACCCAATCATTTAATATGGTTATCCGTGTACGTTTTCACTGTATGGATAATGTACATTCATTTCTGGTTTCCAAAAAGAGATTTGTTCAACAGAAGTCGTGATCAAATATTTAAAGTGTCTATACATGTTATAGTATAATTCGATCCTCGCGTTTCTCATTATGATTCATTATAAATGTCATGTTAACAAAAGGTGGTCAGTACCAACGTAAAAATACAAAAATTTTTTTATTCAAACAGCATGAACTCACATAAAATATCATACTGTCTTTGTAGATATTTGAGTTGTCTTGCATAGCCTCAAATTTTTATCTATTATAATGTTAAAACAATACAATTGTACAGATAAATCAGAGGATGTATTTCACTTTACGACAAAATAAAAATGCTCTTTCTCTAGAATATATATATATATATATATGTGTGTACAAAATGTTGTGATGAACATATATTGTGAAAATAGACTGATGGGAGCTTTACTTAATGAACATATAACTAGTAGTTTTGCAATATTATGTATTTTAAAATGTGAAAAGGGGTCGCTGACTCTGTATGGAGAACTATGTGGGTGTAATGTGAATGTTATGCTGTTGACCATATTTCTCTGTCTTAACTCGTTGCTAAAACTGTCGAGGGAAAACAACCTCTCACGTCAAGAAGTACAGCTTGAAAATGGCCACTAGAGGGAGTGCAAAGCTGATCAGATATGACATGCAGAGGAAAGGTGGATAAGGAAATATGGTAAGGAGAAAGGGCTAAAGAGGAAAATTGACAGTTAGCTAAATGAAAACTGGATGCTTGTTTTAGATAAAATCATGCATTTGAATTATGCTTACTTGGTCGTACGGTTGCAGGTCAAGCGGATTAGCTTTTTTAGGCTACATCGCTAATAAGTACTTACGCAGGAGACAGACATGTCATAAACACATTATTATTTTACTTGGCTTAACTACTTTATGTAGCAAAAGTTTATTTGCAACCCCTAACCTTTTGTCGCTTGATTTTCTGACTTAACTGAGCTTAGAAGTGGTATTTTTTCTTATTTTAACATTCGAAGGTGGGAAAAGGCAGAACTCTTCCATTTCTTAAAGAAGTTTCGAATAATATACAAAATGTTTCTGTAGATTTGTAAAATTGTTTTTGTCAATCGTATTATTTACGAATCTACTTTTTTACCCATACTTACACCTCCTTCCATAAAAGTTGTCATTTTGAATCAAGTGGGGATAACCCTTTGTTTATTCATTATTGAGAACCATGGTAGTTACCTTTATTTATTACTAAAACTATGCAGTTATCCCCATTAATTATTAGAATCATGGTAATTACCTTCAGACACTACTAGACTCGAGGCCATTACCGCCATATATTACCAGATCCATGGCGTTTACTTTCATTTGTTTCATTACTAAAACCGAGGTAATCACCTTCATACACTAATAGACGAATGGCATTTGCTTTCACTTATTATATAATTTGAACTGTGGAAATTACTTTGATACATTAATAGAATCATGATAATTATCGCCATACGTTAATTAATAATCGTTATAGCTTATTAGGATGATGATAATCTTCAAATTTTTCAATTACTAAAACCGATTTAATAGTATCTTTCCATTGTTAGATCTTGATATTATTTTACTATATATTACAGACAGGTTAGCTGTAAGTAATTTGATTTTTTTACAAGCTAATTCTAAAAACAAGTGGCAGTGGGTAAATAAATTAGTAAGTATTAGAGTGAACCTACTTAGATTGAATAAAGGCAAAGATAAATTTTCACTTGCAGCCATATATAAGTCTCTAAGCATCGACTGAAACTTTTAATTAGATAACTTAATATATATTTCGTGAAGTTAAAAACATGTATTTCAACATTCTTATACAAATCCACATCATCCAAACATTTAGAATAATCTTCATACGTTCCTTCTCATTACCCTCCTTCAAACACCTCATGCATTCTTACTCTGTATCCTATTTTACACAAGGCACACATTACTACCTTGTACCCTTCTCCATACACTTATTATTTAAACTCTCTCAATCTATATTTCACTCATCCTTACCCCGTACTCTCCTATGCATATTTTAACCATGTATCTTCCTTTACACATACCTACCCTATATTCTAATTCATATATTCATAACATATCCACACATGCACTTCACACATTTTTACTCTGTATCGTTTCTCACATATACTACTTAAATGTTTACTCCGACTTCTCCGATCACTTATTACCACCACACACACACAACATATTCCTACCATGTACCTCCTCTTGCATATTCCCTTTACAGATTACTGCCTTTGCTTGATATACAAAATTCTATATTTATGGCTTTGTACATGCTGAAATGTAATAACTTTTAAACGAATAGAACCAGAAACATAGAATAATAAAACATATATTACATTGTATTTGGCCCGGCATGGCAAATTGTTCGAATCCCCGTCACACCAAACATGCTCGTCCTTTCAGCCCTGGGGACGTTATAATGAGACGGTCAATCCCACTATTTGTTGGTAAAAGAGTAGCCCAAGAGTTGGCGGTGGGTGGTAATGACTAGCTGTCTTCCCTCTAGTATTTCACTGTAAAATTAGGGACGGCTAGTGCAGATAGCCCTTGTGTAGCTTTGCGCGAAATTCAAGACACACCAATACATCATATTCGTTGACCTTAGCGCACTTTTTAAGGCGTCTTCATTAGTTGTCCAGCACGTGTTAATAAATTGCATCATTTGGTTTCCTGATACCATCCTTGAGTTTGAAATGTACATTTAGCTATAGGGTTGAAACAATACTTGATGGTTTCTCACACCCAA